AAAACCCTCCAGTTCATCAGGGACCGGCCCCTCATGGACGAGGCTGTTCGCCCTCTGACAGGAAGGCCGCTGCTGCTCAAGAAGGGAGCTTTGCTGACTCGGATTGTAGTGGACAGTGTGTTGGCGTTGGATGGACAGAAATATGCCGTCATGTTCGTCGGCACTGGTAAGAAAATTTGACCTGAAGAGATGCAGGATGAAAGAAGGAGACGATGAGATCCTGAGTTCACTGTTTGAATATTTAAAGTTTAGATTTTCTCTGAAGTGAAATTCTTAAGTTAACAATAAAGGTAAGATAACATTTTTATTATGAGTCTGTATAAACAGGACTTTTCCAGACTTTTCTGACTGGGGGGGGGCGTTTGTGGTCACACACACACCCAAATGAATTCATTTTTTAACCCCTTCTATCCCCATTAATGATCTGGACTTGTAAGTAACACAATTTGGCAACATAAATCTTCTTAGTTGGATTCTTTAAGGACTCAAAAACAACAAACGTCTAACTTTCAGAAAAAGAAAAAGTCCTTTGAGATGCTGCTGAGAACTTTTTATTGGATGAGCAACTAAAAGAAGTAACAAAAAATGCAACTTCATTAACACATGAAACCCACCAGCAGCCTGTCGGAAACATCCAGAATAGGGATGTAGGGGCGGCTGTGGCTCAGTTAGTAGAGTCGTCGCCTCTCAACCAGAAGGTTGAGGGTTCAATCCCCAGCTGACAACATGCAAGGTGTCCTTGGGCGAGACCTTAAACTTGAAGGTCTTGAATTAAGTCCTGCCTCTGATTTGGCAAATAGCCAATCAGATTGTAAAGACACACCCCTGATTAGGACTACCTATTTTGATGGCACAACCCACTACTGTCACATAGTTGGGGCGGCTGTGGCTCAGTGGTAGAGTCAACCTGAAGGTGGAGGGTTCGATCCTGGTGTGACTGATTTCATTACATGTGTGTGTCATGGGTTTGAAACCCGCCCGCTCTTCTGTCTCCTGTTAGAAAACGGTTACATTCAGAAGGCTGTGAACTACGCGGGAGAAATGTTCATCATCGAGGAAGTACAGCTGTATGAAAACGCCGTCCCTATCACCATCCTGCGCCTCTCACCCAGCAAGGTAACTCCCAACATGGTCATCACCGGGGCGGTATGGTTTATGAGGTCATCACCGGGGCGGTACTGTTTATGAGGTCATTGTCTTTACCTGCTGAGGACTGCTGTGTTTATTTGCAAATGTTGTACAATAAGCCTTAGTATGAATTTATACCTCACTTTAAATATATTACTGTTTGCTCGTGTGTGTGTGTGTGTGTGTGTGTGTGTGTGTGTGTGTGTGTGTGTGTGTGTGTGTGTGTGTGTGTGTGTGTGTGTGTGTGTGTGTGTGTGTGTGTGTGTGTGTGTGTGTGTGTGTGTGTGTGTGTGTGTGAACGCGTGTAAACGCAGGGCCAGCTGTATGCAGGTTCAGAGTTGGGGGCGATCCAGATGCCCGTCAGTAACTGCAGCCGGTATGACACATGTGAGGACTGCGTCCTGGCCCGGGACCCGTACTGTGCCTGGGACTTCAGCACCGCGCTGTGCTCCTCAGTGCTCAGCCTTGGCTCCTCCTCCAAACCTGCATTACAAAGTCTAAAGGAGGGAGACGTCTCGCTCTGTCCTCGGCCAGGTTAATTCATTCATGATGTTTGATCTCATTTCTGGGAGTGCCAACCAGCATCTGAGGAGTTTTTATTAATTTGTATTCAGTCTGTAAAAACTTTGTGCTGGTGTCTTTTTTTAGATCCCGCAGCAGCTGTGGACTTCACCCTGGTGCCAGAGAACAACATCCAGCTGCCCTGCCAACTCCATTCCAACTTGGCACAGGTCCTGTGGCGCTTCTGTGACAAAACGCTTCACTCCGACAACAACAAATACTACATCTACAGCGGGGGCCTGCTCATCCTGAGCGCCTCTGAAGCGGACGCCGGTCTATACACGTGTAACTCGGTGGAGCACATCAACGGCAGAGCGTACAACAGGACCGTGGCCGTTTATCGATTACAGCTCTCCTTGGGCCCGGGACACAATGGCAGCACTACTCCTGGCAACAAGGTGACAGATTCCTCAGACTCTGCTCACAGTGTGAACACGGACGCACCAGGACCGGGGCCAGACCAGGGCAATGAGGACCCGTTGTCCCCCGAGACTCTAAGCGACGCTGGCAGGGTGACACGTCTGGAGGTGGCCGTGGCGCTCCTCTCTCTGCTCTGTCTCTGCCTGATGGGTGTCATACTTTGGATCTGGAGCAAAGGACACTGGGAATGCGTCAAGTTCGCACAGCGCTCCGGTGCAAGTGAGGCCAAGAGGCAGTCGGCCGAGTACATGCACATCCCGAACAGGACTTCAGAGATCAAGCTCCTGGGGCCGGATTGTGGTAGACCCTGCAGTGCCAATAATAATCACTCTGCTGTTGACTTCAAAGGGAACGGGGAGCACCACTTCACACCGATGGCCAACATTTCAAGTCTGGACGGTCTGGGATACATAAACGATGAGTCAGAGATCTGACGATCGTCCTATAGGTGTCCTGCTGTATAAAAGCTTTCCTCATTAGACATTCTTCTGATTGTGCTCCGACCTTCTCCACATCAGTCTGATGTTCCCTGATGACTTTTCAGGAGTTCTGGAGGAACCTCTCCTCCACTAAGTGGTTTAAAATTCATTTTTTATAAATGTATTTTTTGTACAATGATTGTGTAATATATAATGTGTACAGCTAAGACCTTTTTTTTCAACCACTATTTATTTGTCTCAATGAAGTTCTTATTCTAAGTCTTAGAAAGAAAGTCGATAACGACATTTTGATCTTCAGTTTCCAGGCACATTTCAATCTGCTGTTTAAGGAGCAGTATGTAACTCTGACACCTAGTGTTTAAAATGGGTACTGCAGTCTAAATTCTAAACATTGTAGAGAGCTGATCTCCAATATTGATCCTAGTTTGAGCACGTTTCTGCTCGTGGAGCTTATTAGAAACATGCAGAGGCTTTTTAGGTCGGGTACAATCACTTCTATCTGAACCACTTCTCTTGACCGCTTCCATCACTGCAACACCTGTTGACCTGATAACTGCTCTCATATCTGACAAACCGAGGGGCGTCCAAAATGCCCGTGTGGGGGGTGTCTTAAAAGCGCCTACCTTCTCTGGTCTAAACAAATCCAGAGCATTCAGGAGCAGAATCTAAAGTTAGGAGGAGGACATACTGACTGCTGCATTGTTGTCAGAGAAGCCAGCACTTCAACATAGCATGTTTCCTTAATGTCTGATCATATAGTAATGTTAGTCTTGATCATTCAGAGAGCTAACGTTACAGTTTGTAGATTATGATGGCTCCTTCACTGTTTAAAAAGAGGGTAAAGTCATGTGACTGCTTTAAATGTTCTTTATAGAGGGTGAAGCAGCATGTGGGTCTCTGCTGTTAATAAAAGACTTCTTTGAGAGTTTGAAACGTGTTGAGTTGTCGGTTCTCTTTAAAAAAATAAATGAATCAAACTGATGTCCTTGTTGTCTTGATGTCTTTGAGCAGGACTTCCTGTGGAGTTAACAGCCCTGTGACATGAACAATACGCCACACTTACCTCCGTCTGTCTGTCTGTGACAGAGAGCGTCTGTAAAGCGTTTTGAACATCAGCGCTCGAGCATCTTCAGATTTCATCTCAAACACGTAGTGAAGCTCTGAAGGGGTTGAAGTGGGTCTCTACTCAATTATTAATCAGTGCGGTGTAAGATACTCATCAGGAGGAGAACCAGTGTTACAGATTTATCTGAACAGGTGATACATGTATCATAGACGTCTCATGCTTCAAAGTGTGTTCATGCTTTGGGTCTGAATATTTTACAGCGTAGAGTTCTTATCAAAGCTATTAGTTTAGAGGTTCTTTATTCTAAAACAGCCAGTGGACCAACAACGAGCTGTTGGCTTCACTTTCTTCATTGACTCCACTTGTTCTCCGATGGTTTAATGAGGTTTCTTCTCGTACTTTGTGTTTAAGGCTTTCCATAAAGCTCACAGGCATTTTTTTTTTTCATCCCACTCAGTTTCTTTCGAAGACGTCTGAATTAATCAATACAAAAGCAGCATCTCTCTTCGAGGGGTGAATGAATCTACACTGAGGAGGAGGAAGACAAAGAAACACGCTCACTGTGAACACATTTACCCAGTGGTGGGCAGGAGTCCAAAACCTGTCGGCCCAGGGTTACGAGTACTTCTGAAGAATTTATTTATGAGTTAGTTATTCTGTTTTTAGACACAATTGGATGTTTTTATTTTACTTAAAGGTCACTCACCTCCTCCTCTTCAATCAGTTTAAATAAGTCTCAGAGCTCCTCAAAACATGTGTGTGAAGTTTCTTGTTCTAAATCCACTCTGATCCTGTATTTGATCATGTCTATAAACCCCTCTATTTCAGCCCTGCTCAGAACAGGCTGTTTCTGTGTCTGTACCTTTAAATATGTAAATGAGCTGTGTCTGACCACACCCTCTCTCTGGAAAGGCCTGGGTGTACTCGGTCTTTCTCGCTCCATGTCCTATTGTTTACGGTGAGAAGGCAGACTCAGAGGTTCAGAACAAACACCTAGCTGTGGGAGTGTCACCTACCTGGGGGAGGGGTTACTGCCCTTTGTGATGTCATGAAGGGAAAATCTCCAAATGGCCTGTTTGAGCACACATTTTCTGAAAAGTGGAGCAGGCAGAAGACGGAGAGGATGGACTTTTCTCATCATTGGGGGGTTTGTAGACAGACTAGAGACACGTTAGAGTTAGAGGAACATGGGGAAGTAAATTTCACATCGTGTGACCTTTAACGCCTCGCTGCAGAGAGGCTCGGTCTAGTTTTGAGTTTTGTATATTCAACACTTTTTTATTAGATGTCCAGAGTTCATGTCCAGCTTTGAGTTTATGAACCATAAAACAACATTTAGTCACCATTACAGCAACGTGAACATCCAACTAGGACAGACAGACACGGTGAGAATAAGAATATTTATTGAAATATTTTTCATTTTGTCACTTATCAAATAAAGGATTGAAATTAATATCTCGGCAGAGATTCACCGTCTTCAAAAGATAGATCCAATCATTGACTTGTAATTTAATTTCTTTCTTGATATCCTCTTTTTGTGCACACTTAAATATTCTCTCTGGAGTACATTTACAACCATGTAGTCTTTCCTGTTCAGGAGTTTAGTTTGAATGCCTGTCCCAAATAAAGGCTGGGTCGTTTTATAGACTGAAGGAAATAAAAGCCTGTGCTGTTTGTAGAAGTTTTACGGTAATTCTTAAATAATTTGGCCCATACTTGGAATATCAGCCTGCAGATTGTGACTTCAACATGTGAGCTTTGACGTCATGTTTTCAGTCTGCTGAGTTGTGTGTGTCTGTTAGTTTTGGTTACATGAGGTCAAATAGAGAATCTGCTCCGTCTCACTCCCATGATAGGCTGCATGCATGCACGACACAAAGAATGGTTTATCTGGGGCAAAGTGACTGGGACATTGACAGCGGCTGATAAGGTGCTTTCACAGCAGGGCGCCGACCACCAGAAGCAAACAGTGCAGGTCTGGAACAACTAGAACTGAGACATACCGACACACGGTACAAAAACAAAGTCTGCTCTGAGCGTGATGCTGTTTCCAGTATTATAATAACGAGAAGAGGCGAGTTTTATGGCACATACATGCTCTGAGGTCCCAGAGGATAACGCACCAACATCACCAACGCTGCTTCACTGAAGCATGACGAGTCCAGTTTAAAAAAAGTGGCACTTGTAAAAGGAGATAGTCGAGCAAAGTTCTTTCTTCACATGCAACATGTGCACACGACATTTAGGAAATCACAGCCAAAGCAGGCGAGCACAAAGATAAAAAAAAAAAGGCACAGCATATCAAAAATAAACTGAACTCCTTCCAGAAAACATCTGAACACAAAGCGAGCGCATAAAAACCGTGCATGTGCAGGAGAGACACAATCTCAGCATGCTGACGCACACACATAAAACAAAGCTATCAGAAGTGTTCATAAAGGCACACATCGTTCAGCAGCTCCATACACTCTTCTGGAGTTCCTGTTGGCACATTTCTTTAGAGCCTCAAACTGCAGCCCTCTCCTTCGTTTGAATCAAGTCGATGTAAACAAAGATGGAATGATAAATCTGACTCCACTACAAGAGCACGGCTTTAACCAAGAAACTATTCGACAAGGCAACCTTGTCCTCTCATAAAAACAAAAACATAGATGCATTCTCTCTCACTGGAAGGTTAAAATGACTTGAACGTTACCACAACAATGGTCAATAATCTGTCTCCCCCTAGTGGCCACTCTCAGCTATCACCACTGGCTGTTGTCGGGGTAGCTCGGCACTGCGGCAGGGTACTGAGGCAAGCTGGGGCCCTGAGCCGACTGAGCTACAGCGTTAAACCCTGCTTCCCTCACTGGAGCACTCTTCCACAGCCCGGTGCTCCACTCCTCCTGAGCGCGCGCCATACTTCCTCCACCGCCACGGTACATTCTGTGCACCTGTAAGATGACGAGAGAGAGGGGAGGAGAATATGTTGGCACAGGGTTTGTGTCTGTTTACGACCGTGAGGGTTAAACTCATGGACAACTGAAATGCAGGTGTGTTCACTCACCTTGATGAGAACGAGTGCCATTAAAGCAGTCACCAGTGTGAAGAGCAGCGCTGTGATTAGCATCACTATAGCCGAGCCCGTATTATAGCTGAAAAATATCACCGTGGCAATCCAGCCGCTTCGGTGTGCAGGTGAGAGTGAGATGGAGTAGTTGGTTAGTGACACATTGTATGTAATTAGCTAAATGGATTTTAGGCTAGTATCCAAAGTAAGCAGGGGGGGGATGCAGAGACAAACAGCATAACAATGATCATCAGCGTGAGTAAAAGTAAAAGGCTTCAGGGTTCAGAACAGCTGATTTGTGTTTTCCTGTTTTAAAGAACTTCACTGAACAAAAGTTGTGAGTGACAGAATGAGGAATGTAGTGTGTTGCCTGTTTAGCTGTTTAGCACCATTTACACAAACAAGGAAACACAACCAGCTTGATTCTGCTGTTTCCTGTTGGAGTGTCCTAACTACTCGCGAGCGAGGCGTCGTGAAGCTGTGCAACGTTGCACGCCATTTTTACAGCCCAGCGCCACTATACAGGCGAGACGTTTATTGACCAGCCTCTGAGTGGTGTGAACAGCTCGTCAAGACAAAGCACCACACTTCAGTTTGTCCACCTTCAAAATAAAAGCACCACACTTCAGTTTGTCCACCTTCAAAATAAGAGCACTACACTTTAGTTTGTCCTCTTTCAAAATAAAAGCACCACATGTCACAATGTTTTATGGGGACACTGAAAGTCACAGAGCAGAGAATTAAGTATGTAATGGATGCAGCGTGAACAGCGAGCGTGCGATCATGCGCAATGCGACGCAATATCTAACCGTACATCGACGACGGATAGCATCTCAACGCTCCTATGTGCAGCTGGAGAGGCAGTCCCGCAGTGCATTATGGGATCTTGTGCGAGCTCAAGAGGGGCTTCGACACTAGCCGCTCATTTATTCAATCAGGTGCATTCATTGAGGCTTCGTCACCTATCGCGTAGCCCACAGCGAAAAAACTTGGCTATCAAGTGAAGTTGGAAAGGTCCCGTTTACTGTTAACATGATAAATCTGCAAACGGACCGCATCAACTCAGAAAACAGATTCAACAATTCTGTGTCCTCCTTCGTCTTGTGGTGTCTTGTGTTAAATATACAGAGATGTAAAGTCTAACCAATCGGTGAGCTGCCTGTTGTCACTGGACATAAAGCCGTAATCAAACACTCTGTAGTAAGACTGGGCAGATGAAAGGTGCAGAGTTGTAGACGCTGGTTTGTTTGGACTCACCACGTTCCCCAGCCGGAGATCCCGATAGTCTGGATGAGGGCTAAGGCACACTGAAGGAAGAAGATGAAGAAAAAGGCCATGAAGTTGAACGAGCTGTCAGCCCTGTGGACGACAGCAGAAAAAAGAGAGAATTAAAAATGGAGGACGCAGCAGAGGACAAACAAGACGTGAGTTGTTGCAATGTTTCTTTCCTCCTGTTTGGTGTCAACCTGTGGATACACAGGCCACAGACTGTAAATATTAACAGATGAAGCCTGGGTGACGTCGCTGGGTGACGTCGCCCGTCTGTTCCTGCAGGGGGCGCTGGAGTCCCATCGATGGCGGTCTCCATGCTGGAAATGCTGTCTCAGTCTAACTTTCAGTCAAGCTAACGACAGGCTGAGAGCTGGAGCTGAGGCGGGTTTTAAACCTCCTGACAAACTGTTACACCACGCCCACCTGTCAATCAGGTCAGCTACACACCTTATTGTGAATAACTCTTATCCTTCATCAAATCAAAACTGATGAGTCATCAAAACGTCCAACCCCCCGTACAGTGTGTCCATCAAGACATGAGCTAATCACACCTATTTGGTTTTTTGAACCAGGCTGTAAACATGTTCATCTCTGCTGTAAAAACAGTCTTTTTAGAATGGGTGTGTATGTGACTTCCTGTGCTTCAGCAGCCAGCCTCTAGTGGACACTCTGGGAACTGCAGGATTTTAAACTTAAGCATTAATCAACACCGGAGGTTGCTGCTTGCTCATTCAATCATGCAGTCTAAAGAATAAAATCAATGTTTACATTATATAACATACTGAAAACATTGAATACAGGTGCGCAATGTGATAGGTACTTGATGAAATATAATGACAGTTTAGTTCAGTTTAGTTTTGCTAAACTGAAACATGCACATTAGGAGGCAAAGAGGTTTCAAGCTTCAGTATCCAGCAGTGTGAACAAGACTCAGAGCTACATGTGCTCTCTAACGACCTCCTGTGCACGACATGCACGGTTCATAAATCAGATCACAAATCATCGATCTGACAAAACAGATCTGCAGGCTGCATTTTTAAATGAGTGGTGGTAAGATTTCTTACACAGCATACAATCACTGTAGTTTGTCTCTCTGTCTCTGAACCCCAACAGTGACCTACTTTGTCTCTGTGGTTTTCCTGTCCCCAAGCACTCTGGGCTTTCCCCCTTCCAACAATCAGCCGATGAGCAGGAACAGCCCTGAAGCTGACACTTCCTGATGCCGTTTACACCAGCTATCTCAATAGCTTCACAAATACAGATGAGGACGAAATTATTAGCCCCCCTATGAAAATTTCACTTTTTTTTTTAAAGTATTTCCCAAGTGCTATTAAACAGAGCAAAGAATTTTTAACACAGGTTTTTCAAACATTCTAGTTTTATTTTGGATGCTTACATTATTTTACTTTGCACACAGAAACAAAATTATTTCACAAAAACCAAAAACTACCAGGGTCAAAATTATTAGCCCCCTTAAGAACTGACCTTTTTATTGAGCCATAGCACAAACCACTGTTGTGCAATGATGTGCTTTAACTTTGTAATGCTCAAAGCTTGTAAAATCAAGTTAAAATTGAGGGTTATCTCCCAATTTACACACAGTATAAAAACGTCAGTAAGGGTTTGAGCTGTCACTTGAGAAAGCATCATGCCAAAAACAACAGAAATCAGTTTAGACTTGAGAAAAAGAATTGTTGATGCTCACAAAGCAGGAGAAGGATATACAAAGTTATCACAGCGTGGAAGGAATCATGAAGAAAGAAGGATATGTGAAGATTTTGAAAGAAAACCTCAAGCAGTCAGCAGCAAAACTGGGTCTGGGTCGTCGCTTTGTCTTCCAACATGACAACGACCCAAAGCATATGTCGCTCCTGGTGAAGAACTACCTCCAGAAGACCAAAGTGAACATTATTGACTGGCCTGCACAAAGCCCTGACTTGAATCCCATTGAAAATCTGTGGGGTGAACTGAAGACCAAGGTCCATGCCAGAAGGCCATCAAATTTGGAGGAGCTTGAGAGATTTGCCAAAGAAGAATGGCCTGGGATTCCTCAGGAGACGTGTCAGAGACTTGTTGAAAACTACAACAAACGACTGCAGGCTGTTATCCAGCAAAAAGGATACACAATTGACTATTAGCATCAGGGGGGCTAATAATTTTGACCCTGGTAGTTTTTGGTTTTTGTGAAATAATTTTGTTTCTGTGTGCAAAGTAAAATAATGTAAGCCTCCAAAATAAAACTTGGATGTTTGAAAAACCTGTGTTAAAAATTCTTTGCTCTGTGTAATAGCACTTGGGAAATACTTCCAAAAAAAATGAAATTTTTATAGGGGGGCTAATAATTTCGTCCTCATCTGTATTTGTGAAGCTATTGAGATAGCTGGTGTAAACGGCATCAGGAAGTGTCAGCTTCAGGGCTGTTCCTGCTCATCGGCTGATTGTTGGAAGGGGGAAAGCCCAGAGTGCAAACGTTCAGGTAAACGATTCAGTCGTACAGTGTGAGCTAACGTTCCAACCTGACTTTTCTACAATCGTACACCAGGCGTAAATCATCGCTTTGCACTCAATTCATTGATTTAAGTTCTCTAGATGTTTTATTTAATGGTTCTCAGACAAAGTACAAATATTCTAATCTGTAATTTATAACCTATTCTTCTGATATGTTAATGTTATTGTTGCTTTAACAGATTTACATGTTGTTTTATTTATGTTTGTGCCACACGTCTGTGTCTGTTTAGTTCAAGCCTCTCTATCATGCAGCGTCTGACATGCACTTTAAAGTTGAGGATTTGTTTGGGATGGTGAGAGTAGATGGAGGGGGACCCACCTGAAGGCTTTGTAGAGCGGTCTGAACCAGCAGGTGTAACTGCACGGGCTGAAGAGGACGAGCCAGAGAAGAGAGAAGCCAAAGTTGGTGGCATTACCGCCACCAACCCACCAGGCAATGCAGGAGATGACATTTAAGCACAGCGTACCTGAATACACTACAGAGGAGAGGGGGCAGTGGAGGTGTAAGGGGAACAAATGAGAAAGGAATGGTAGTAATCACAGAGGTTAGAATGCAACATTTTATAAAATACAGACATACAGGTGTGTTTGGTGTTTGTTCATGCACTCACTCATCCAAAGTGTATAGACTCTGCGCACCAACTGCTGATGGGGTGCAGGGATTTCCTCTTCTATGTTGTGGTAAAAGCATGGCTTTATTCTCATGAACTGAGGCAGGGGAGGAAAGTTATTTACCCGCTCTGAAACAAGGAAGCAAAGTGCCACTATGAGATTACAAAATTACAGTATTTCAGAATCAGAATCAGATTTATTGTACCAGGCATGCTTACACACACAGACACAAGGAATTTAACAGTGGTGAAATAAGCCTAGTATGTACAAGACTGAAGATAATAGTGCAGTGAAAAGTGCAAAAGATGCTGAAGTAAACATGATAATAAAAAATGTAATTATGTCTGATGGGTTAATTTACATGAGGTAAAGTTTTACAGTATTTACATGAAATGTGTGCATAAATTGATAATTTAGATTAAATAATATATGTATACGTATATTTACATTCACAGAAATATGTACATATCATTACAGTATGTCATAAAAAGCCTGAAACATACAGGTGTAGACAGAGGGGAGAAGAGGGACAGATAGATAGATTTAAATATGTGACAAACCTGCCATTTTAGATTCCCAGACTTATTATCGTAGGTGAGAGAACTACATTTGAACAGAAAACAAAGTCAGCACTCAGGTTTTCACACACTTACAGACAGACTAAAATACATTTAATGTATTCTGCACATGTTCAGCTCAGAGTAACTTGGTATAAAGTTGCATCACTGGTTAGCACTGTTATTTGTTATCTTGTATAAACTTTGAAACAGTCCGGTGAAGGTTAACGATAATAACCTGAACGGGGTGGCTCTAACTTCAGTCCAACTGTTCTGAAAAGTACCTGTAAAACGAATACTCTGAATTTTCTCGTTTCTTTATTAAAAAACTACTGAAAACATCTCACGGTTTCTGCGTGTGTGAGCATTTACAGTAAACTAGAGATCAGCTAAAGCGTGTTGTTAGGCAGCTAAGAAACGTTATTCAACAGAACCCGTTGTGTATCTGTTTCAAGTTTACAGAGAGTGAAAACATTCACAACGCTGAACAGAATAATAGATATTTACCGATATTACCGGTGTAACGTTTATCTCCGTTTAGTTTCCGTCGACTGCAGCAGGGGTCCAAAAATCATCCAGGATGCGCTTTTTCGTCCCCATGAATCCTACTGCGGCTGCGCGGAATCGTGTCGTCTGTAGTTCCGAGCTGTTTGTATCCAACGCCCTTTGGCTGTTAGAGAACTACAAGTACCAAGTATGCAGTTAGCGGTAAACGGGAAACGCGTGACTCTACATGATGGATCCCACCCATCCATAAATGATATTTCTTTAACTTGTAAACAAAATGAATCACCCTCGACATGCTTTAATAAACTCGGAGCCAAATAAATGAATGTTTCATTTACGTTAATAATCAGCACGTGACACTTTCAACATGATATATGTTACAGTGAGTGGCACATTTTCTTATAAAGTGTGTAAAAGCTATACGCAAATAAAACGTACACATTAAGAATAGTGTTTGCTTTGATTGGTTTAAATATCTTGATGAATAGACATCCTTTCAGGAACTGTAGTCTAAATAACTTTATTCGTGAACTACCTAATGCTGCGTTCAAGTGCTCCTCGGACATTTCGTGTTTACCGTGTTAACGAGTTATGAGCATAGACTGTAAATATTACTGGACGAACCCTGACCCGTCTGTGACATAGGCAGAAAATGAGTCCAATCGACGGCCGCATCCATATTGGATTTGCAGTCTCAACCTAACTACGGATCAACCTAGCAACAGCAGTAAGGCGGGACCGGCGGGACTTAACTCCGCCCATTCAGCTCGACGTTAGCAGTCCACTTGACAGCATAGCTAACGGCTAGGCTGCTATCATCAACTATTCCTGCTCGTCCTGAGAAAACTCTACAAACAGTAAGTTAACATTTAACTTTTCTACAACACAGTTAAAACGAATTATATTCAACAAATATTTAATTAAAGTCTTAAAACTACACTTTTTTAAATATACAACTATGTTATTAGTTATTTGTCAGAGCAGTTAGACTTTGTCAGTGTTAGCAGAGAAATACATTAACAAAGTTTTATCCATAAACTGTAAATAAATATGAGACATCCAGAAGAAATCAATATTACAAAGCATACAGTTCATGTTACTGTTCTGACAAAAAGAGGAATGTCTGTGTCTTATATTTACTGATGTCAACAGCAATGAGGTGAACATGACAATTGAAAAATAATTATTTAGTATTTATTATAAGACATTTGTTTTCTATTGAACCCGTTAAGTCATGGAGTCTGTGGACAGTGTCAGCTTCACACCAAAAACTTTAAGTATTAGAAAAAATAGTGTTTAAGACTGGCATCTATTATGATGAGTTGCAGCTACCTTGTTCAATATTATTCCTGCAGATGTGGCTCATAACAAAAAAACACCTGAGCTGTCACATGTAGTTAACTGTACATTTTGTCTTGTCTGAGGCATTAATTGAACACCTTTGTATTTCTCCTATAGACACAGTGTGGATTATTGGTGACTGTCCGTCGAGGTGCCCAGAGAGCTGCAGAGACAGAGGAAGAAACCTGAGCCTCAACAACATCTGTATTTGTTGGTTCTTCTGGGGTGGACTTCGTTGCTTCTCTTCAACAGCTCGCTGTGAGGGAGGTCTCCCCCGGATGGCCTGAGTGATGTCACCCACAGGCTGAGAGCTGAGACGGGTTTTAAGCCTTTGACAAACCGTTACACCGCGCGCCTGTCAAGCTGGTCAGCTACACGCCTTATTGTGAATAACTCTTATCCTTCATCAAATCAAAACTGATGAGTCATCAAAACATTCACCCCCCGTACAGTGTGTGTCCATCGAGACATGAGCTAATCACACCTATTTGTTTGTTTTGTACCAAGCTGTAAACATGTTCATCTCTGCTGTAAAAACAGACTTTTTTTAATGTTGTTTTTCAGATTAAATAAATATTTCTATATAAATGCACTCCTTTATGTCTACTTATGAGTATACATTTCAGATTAATGCTCAACTCAATAGCTTAGGGAAGGAAGTCTACTTTTACACAACTTCTTATTCTTTTGATAAATATTAATGTAGTTCATTTCTGAAAGTGGGATGGAACAGAGTCATTGCAAAAATATGCCCTTAAACACAGCCCCATTCTTAAATCAAGATACATGGAGAGTAAATAAGATCAATAACTTGTGAATAAAAACACAGTTAAAAATGATTTAGAAATGTAGTCTTCCCAGATCAATATCACATAATATCAACTTCTCCCATCTAAACTGGACAAAGGGTTTTAAAATGGGAAGAAAATAGTTTGATTGCAAGTTGTTTGGAGGAGATCTAGTTTTATTTGAACAGCATGAATACAGTCTTCCAAGGTGCAAACCCTCCTCCTCCTCCTGAAGCCTGTGGAGCTCCTTCATGTACTGCTGTCTTATCTGCTGGCCATCTTCTCTCACCAGAACTTCAACTGTTGAAATGTCATTCAGAAGAAGCTCGAGCATGTGACATGGATCCAGGAGAACATGGACTTTTAGTGAGGGGTCTTCAGGATGGCAAAGAAAGAGAGAAAATATCAGTTATTCATTAAATCATTTTTTTTTCTCATCTATTTTTCTGTATTCATCTGTGTGTAAGAGCATTTATAAATTCAACAGTGTACTACCCAGACAACAAAGGTACAGTATTCAGGTAATCAACATCTATTAAAAGTTAAGAAGATAAACATTATTGTAATCATGCTGTTTTCAGCTCTCTCACTCACACAATGATATTCCACATCAAATTGTCTCAGATTTTGTGTGAGGAAAAATTAAGCAGTTTATTGAGGATAGTACTTCATCTTAACATGAAACAAATATAACCTGAATTATTTAAATCATTAACAGGTCCCAACTCTCTGTGCTTTAGTACAGAACATACAGTAACTCATTTATTATTAACATGAGCTCAGTACATGGCTGTATTCTTCAAACTATTTCTTATACTTTATATCTATGTGCTTTATATCTTATTTTCATTCCACATGTTATTTATATTTTATATTTCTACTGCTATATTCTGTGTATGAGTTCAGTGAAAATTAATATGGTTATTAATATAATTCTTAATGGTTACAGATGCTCTTACAAAGTGAAGTTTTTTTTATTTGTTAACAGTTTGTACAAATCTTAAGACACTACATCAACCATGTAACGTTGATGTCATCCTCTATAACCTACACAGCACATTAGGTTCAGTTCAGTTTATGTTACTGACGGATAATTACTACACAAAGTTTGTTTTTAATGTCCACATTTACGTGGAGTATAACATTCATCATAACGTCAGATAACCACCGAGGTGAACCTTTAGCTTCTAACATCACACAAACTCACTATTTTCAACAACAACATCTTAACAACAAACATTTCTAAACCATTGACCGTAAATAATGTAAATAATGAGCTACACAGTTAGCCGACTGGTTTACAAGCTAACGCTAAACAAGCTAGGTCCGTAAATATAAACACATGAGTAAGCAGTAAATATAACACTACTATATCACTTACCGAAAAAAACTGAAGCATCAACTTCTTGGATGGTCTGTTAACCACACAGCAAGCCATGTATGTTGTCAGATATGTGTTAAACAAACTCTCCAAACGAAGTAAGAAAGAGAAGAAATCAGACGGATCAAGCAGTTAGCCTCCTGACCTGCTGACCTGACAGACAGATGCAGCGCGCAGAGCTGTCAATCAAATCTGACACAACCAAATATGGGCATAGTCGTTTTCCTTAATAGAATAAAATCCGATGAGTTATAAAAAAAATTCACCCCCCCCCCCCCTCCGACACAGCTTAGAAAGAGTGTCAACAATAGACTTTAAGAAATTATATATTTTGTTGATAGCAGCTATCATTTATTTTTAGTAGTTGCAAAATTTAGTATATGCAATATAGCTATCGCAAATAGGCAAACTTTAACTCATGATCGTGCCAAGCGCTCATCGCTTCTATGTTTTTCAAAAGAACTTGGGCGCGTTTATTATAGCCGTTACGGATGTACAACTGGTATGAACGATGTTTACAAGGAGCACATGAATGCAGCATACTAACATGTCAACTCTGACTTCTGTAAGTCAAACTACGCGGCCAATCGGAAAGCCCAACACATCCCGAAGAAGGTGTGCCCTGCGGGATACAGCTGGCATGCTTCGATTTACAGCCCAGGGTATCCCGAATGGGGCGGGTAAAATCAGTATGATGATTGACAGATTTATGTATTCATTATTGTTGCAATTATCCTCCCTGAACTGATTTTATAATGAAGAGAATTTTAAAAACGTTTAAAACAGGAGATTCAGGGTCCCCAAATGCAGGCCGCACCGCTACAAAATAATATTTTGTGCCATCTATACTACTACCATAAGTCATGTGGACTGTGCAATATGTTTACACAAAGACAGTGCAATATGTGGAACCTGTGCAATATTAGGCTTACCTGCTGATCTATAAATACTGCCAACAAAGACAATGCAGTATGTTTACACACAGAGAGAGCAGTATGTTTACAGAAGGGCAGTGCAATATGTTTACAAAGACAGTGCAGTATGTGGAACCTGTGTGATATTAGGCTTAAATGCTCAACATTACTAAATCTGTAAATATCGCTATAATGGTGCATGTCTAAATACTGTGCGTGGACAAGCGTCTGCACGTAAGTCAATATTTTTTAAATTTCTTCTTTATTCTGTATTACTTGTAAATTGCAGCCGGAAGGAGCCTGAAGAAAATTTCCCCAAGGGGACGATGAGAGTTTATCTCATCTTCCTCAACAGCGCTTTATCAACAGGGACACTGGGTTGCATGCAACAAACGCCCCCTTTGGTGATCAGTAACCGGTTTCGACCAATCAGCGGCTGCTATTGATGGACGTGACAGACTCCCGCCAATTCCGATTGAGGAGCGCGCAGGCAGGCAGCGGGTCTGACTGAGGGAGTAATGTGGGAGATGAGAAAGAAGAATGCTTTACGTTTCATGTAAAACAAATGTCGTTTTAACAGCAGCATCACATTTGGCTTGGTTACCGTGAAGTATACCCGGCCGTTTACGTGTTTCGCCGGTGAAAACTCAGGAAGCGCTCGGAGCCCCGGCTGACTGTGTCGGG